CATTTCCGATATAATTATATCTATAGGACAATCAATATGTACTTAAATAAACTTAAGAAACGCTACAATATACAGGATCAATCTTAAATGCTTTAGACTGGTACAGTTAATAGAAAACTTGTTTTAATACACCATACTAAAAGTGTTGGAAGTAACAAACTCAGCAACATTGTATTATTCCTCCTATCCGAGAAACAATGATCGTAGAGTTCGGGGATATACGGCTGTTAACAGAACCGGATTCAGTTTACTAATGTAAATATGAATTTATTCCCACAAAATATTTCGCAACACAATTATTATGCTAAATATAAAAGTTACGGAAATAATGATCCTACAATCTAGTTGTAATTTCACTGTCATATTGATTTTTGAAAGTTTTCTGGGGAGAAATTTCGAAGTTAATTTAATAGTAATTTTTAATAGAATGCAAAAACAGCATATTTGGAAAAATAATTCAACATCAAAGTTGTAAATAAGATGCTTGTTATATATTTTTTTTAAATCAAAATATTTATTTCTAAATTCTTTAATTCATCGGAAAGTTCTTGGAATTTTAAGACTGCCACGTTGTATTGCTTCTTCTGTAATAGAATATATGTGAAACAATAATCAAAAGTGTAAAAAATTATTTAAGGGTATGAAAATGTAACAAAATTTGTCACATTTTAATTTCTTTATTTTTATTGTAAGTTTAAAAGTTAATGAATTTGTTAAAAAATTAGTATGGTGTGATATTTTGGATAGCGGCGAATAACGTTTGTCCATGAAAAAAATCAACAGTAAAATTTTAGGAAGTTATAGTTCCAAATATATACTTTTTTAGAATTTACTAAAAATTAAAGTGTTTCATGCAGATGTATAAAATAAAAATGTGGAGCAGACGGAACAAAGTAAAAAGACAAAAAGAAAACGAACAGAGTGAGCTGAGTACGACCCTGTTAAGAGCCTCGCCTTATCTAAAGTTCGGCAACAAGCAGGGTTTTGATTGTGTACCTTCCATGGGGAGGGTAATCTGAAAATGTACATGTAAATGGATGGATTAAAAAAATTAAAAACTCCGTTAATATTTGTAATTCTGAAAAATGACTTCGCGAATTAAACCGCATTTAAAATAGGTGTCAAGGTGTCTCAATTTTAATCTATGAGACTTCGGGAGCAGATAATATGTAGGTACAATGAAAAATAATGGTACTTTGTCATATAAACTTATTTCGAAATCTCAACATTTTCGAGATAGAGGGTGTTAAAAATTAAAAAAAAAAATTACTGTAAATATCTTCTGAAATAATAGAGGTATTTGAACCAAATTTGGTGTACGTTATATTGGATCAAGTTTGCATAAAATACTGTAATATCAAGACTTTTGCGCAACCAGTGACGGACATATGGGAAACTCATTCGACTATTTTATAAAAAAAAAAACAGTACGGTCCCGTGCAAAATAATAATTGATTATATTTTATGAAAAAGCATGCCAATGGGAACAAAAAATGCCTCTTACATTTTAGCGATATCTGTCTCTGTTTTACGGCAAATTGGATTTTTAATTTAAATAAAAAATAAAGTAGCATCTTTCGAATCAATAATATTATTATTTAATTATTACCAGAACTTACAAGTAAAAGTTAACTTATTAGGTTTTCTTCAATTTCTTGAGCAAGATTTTTATTTGGTGTTTTAGCCTTAAGGAGGAATATGGGATTTCTGCTCATTAAATGTCAACTACCCTAACAGATGGATTGGCAAACAGGGCCCCATTCTATGGGCAGAGGACCAAATCTTACCTCCCTGGACTTCTCCATACAGAGCATAATTAAAAATTATATGTATGTAGTCCAAATAAATTCAGAGGAACAATTGAGATTTCGAAATAAGTTTATATGACAGTACCATTATTTTTCTGCTCTCGAAGTGTCGTAGATTAAAACTGAGACCCCCTGTATGTACAAGTTTAAGATTCACTGGGTAGGTACAGTTTGTTCTATGTTATCAAAATGTACAATTTTCTTGAAAGCTTGACTATTTTCAGTGAAATAAAACTAACACACGTTATACACTAGCATAAATTCAGGGCCTGATAGAATTTCAAAAAATATTACAATTTGTTCCTATGAACCATGGGCGTATCTTTTTCCAATTTCAAAATACAGAGCGTTGAAAATAATTTTTTAGAATCTAGTTTCAGTCCTATCTTCCACAAAATTCGAGCGAATGAACTGAACAACAATTTGAGATACTAGCTACTTGACTTTGGCGCACTATGCCTGGTTTTTCTCGAAAACGGGCAAATTTTAGCACTTCTTACAAGAGCACCTTTTTCGTTTAGAATAAAATTTGCCATAACAGCAAGTGACAAAAGAGGCAAAAATATTAACCACAAAAAAGTTAGGATCTAAAATGTTCCCGCAAAGTACTGCACTGAAACCCCACATGACAAAATTTCAGTTCAATTTGCTCGAATTTTGTGGAAGATACGCCGATGGTTCCTAGGAACAAATTGTAATATTTTTTGAAATTCTATCAGGCCCTGAATTTATGCTAGTGTTTTTCAGAACACCCTATATGTATGTATATGCAAATTTCGGCGTTCTAAGATTTGATATAATCACAAAGAATTCTATTATTTACTAAATTAACGGTGATTTTTTCGTCAGCAAACAAGTTGTAATTTTGATTTTCCTCTTTATGCCAAAGTTACAAAGGTACATACTAAAATAAAATCAAATATTTAACCACAAATATTTACGTTCTAAATATATCTCTATTATGTATCAAAGTTTTACTTAGTTTTATCTTTTGTTTATTCAGTGCCACCTTACCAAAAAAAACAGCATCTTTAAAATCTTTTTAAAATGGATGATATGCAGAATTGTACTAGACATTGTATAGAAAATTTACTAAAATCGAATCATTCATTAAAAAAATACGAGTAGTATTATTGTTCTCATGGACGGCCATGTATACAGGGTGTATCTAAATAACACCGAATGTATGGGGCGGATTCTCTGATGAAAATTAATAGGGGTCTTTGTTATAAAATTTTTTGAAAAAACTCCCGTGAAAAGTTACGCCCTTCCAAAAATTAAAAAAAAATTGTTTTCGTTTTTATCTTCTATGTATATCAAGCTAAAGAAACCAAACTTGGTGAACATTATCTGTCAAAAAAACTACACTTTTTGAAATGTTTTCAACCCTGAAGTATTTTTGCATTGAAATAATCAACCCCTATGACCTTTTCGGCAATATAGACTCGCGTTAAACAGCTCATCTCTTTAAAAATGCATTGCAATACATTTATTTTTTCTCATAAATCCTTAACTTTTTGAAAAAACTTGAATAGATCAAAAAGTTAGTAAATGAATGGGGCTTTTACCCATTTTTTTAAAAGAAAAAAATTTTATCGAAAAAAAATTATAAGAAAAAAATGTTATGGGGGTTGATTATTTCAACCCTTCATAAAAATACTTCAGGGCTGAAAACTTTCAGTAATGTTCACCAAGTTTGGTTTCTTTAGCTTGATATACATACATGGAAGATAAAAACATTTTTTTTTAATTTTTGGAGGGGCGTAACTTTTTAGTTTTTCCAAAACATTTTATACCAAAGACCCGTATTAATTTTCATCAGAGAATTGCCCCTTACATTTTTTCGGTGTTATTTAGATACACCCTGTATATTCTTCTTCATATGTCGAAACATTAGCAACTCGTTTGTTTCCCTTTTTCGTTTTTGTTCTAAAAAAATCTAGTTATAAATAACTCCATAGTTATTGTAAATGAAGAAGTTGAGTAACGATACGTCAATCAATGAAACAAATGAGTCACCTCACAAGGTTGTACTGGCTATATAGAGTATATCGAGTGATTTTATCTCGTGTAGAGTGTTTGTTCTTGGGAAATATTTAAATTGCGTGTTTACTCATGAATGTGTGTATCATACGAACTTTAGATCAGATACAAACAATGTCAAAGCCGTTCGAAATTGTGTTTTATGTTTGTTAGTATAACAGCGTATTAAAATTGTGTAAAGAATACTTTGAAATCGTCAATAAAGGGTGTCCCAAAAGAAACGCACGATTTCATGAGAAAAAGATTTTATCTTAAAAAAATTACCTGCGGCTGAATTTCGTTGATAACTCTCCGAATTTTTGCATTTAATTGAGGAATGATATTCACTTGAGCAGAATAAAGTTTGGACTTACGAATTCTCACAGGGAAAAGTCGCATGGCGTGATCTTCACTGTTACGTGAGATGAGTCGTCCATTAAATTTCTGCCGAACCAGTGGATAGTTTCATGTGTCGTATGACAGATGGCATCATCCTGTTGGAACCACATCTCATCCAAATCCATGCCATCCAAATGAGGCCAGAAAAAGTTCAATAGCATCTCAAATTTGGTAACTAATCTTTTCCCGCAGTTGTTTATTCTTCCGAAAATTCCACGTAATTTGCGCACAGTCTCAACTACACACTCTCCGTACTTGTACTTTACTCGCTCATCCGTCATATAGCGCTCCATTTTGTCTAACCGCAACTGCCAACTGCCAACTTTTCTGGAACCTCTAGACATCTTTTGAATAAAACATACATGTGACTTTTCCATACAATATCCAATCCTCATGATTAAAACACGTCTAGCTTCTAGTTAAAAATAATTCTCTAAAAGGGGTAAACTGGTTTAGTTAAAATTAATGTACAATATTTGAAAAGATTATTACAGCAAGTCTTGGCAAGCAACAATATGATTGATGTAAGTTTATTTTTCCTTCTAAAACTTAACAATTTAATCACTAGCTGATATTAACGTTTTGATAAAAGTTAACAGGTACTGGATAAAAAAACTCAATATATTTATTAACGTCTTTCATACTTTAAAACATAATCTTACAACGAATAACATTCTTAGCGAACATTAAGGATATAACTCACGCTTACGTCATATTAACAAAATTTCAGAGATTCGTCACTTTAACTGATTCGTTTTTCGTATTTTCCAGATTAAATTAGAGAGAGTTTTGGGCGTGACAGTTTCCAGCAACGCAGCTTTGACATGTGATAACAATGGACTAATAGCATATCCAGCAGGGTAAGTTTGCAGTTTATACTACTGTATGTTCCTTATACCGGAGACGACTAGAAGAATTGATTCATAAAACGTTAAAAATATTGTTTTGTCAGTTTTCCCACTCGAATTTTTACCTCCTGCCCAGCGCATCGAATTTGGGTTTTGTTTTCATAACATATAAATGAAAGGTCAAGGCGTTCGAAATATACATGTGTTTTTAGTTATATATCAATTAATCGCTTCCGGATTGCTACTAAATCTTATTAATGACAGCGGCTCATTTAATCCCACACCTGACAACATAATATACTGTAAAATTTGTTCATCGTAGTGTTATACATGTACGTTATAAGTCAATAACGTTAAAAACGTATACGTTAATTCAAATTTAATTGTACATAATTTAAACGTACAGTTACTAAACATTCTGTTACTATTTTAAGTATAATTGTAGGTATTGATGAAACTAGAATATACGGTATAAGAGTATCTATGTTATAAACGTTGTACGTTCTATATTATTTAAACGTTCATCGAAACATTAAAATTGGTGAATATTGGTGTTTAAAGAAGACGTGCGTAGAATTAAACTATTTTTTATCCGAGGGAGCAAATAATATCTATATCACGAATATATGTTAAAAATGTGTACGTTATATCAGTATTGTATGGTACGTTATTTTAGCGTTTGTCGAGACATTAACAAAAATATTGATATTTAAAAAAAATTGTAATAGAATTAAAATATCTCCTTTTCAGGGAAACAATAATAAGTTAGTATATGTTAAAAACGTGCTGGTACGTTAAACAAATATTGTACATTCATCGATACATTAATAGTACGTATGGATGTTTTTTATAAAACATTAAAAATATCTTCTCCTCAACAAATAATGTGTTCGTTACAACTGAGTATACGTTGAAAGCTTATACGTTATATACACATTTTATTACATTAAAACGAAGTTACAAGTACACGTACAAGTTGTATTGAATTGAATATTTAATTGAAATTCCCAAATCGAAAGAGTTCATCATAAAAGAAGATATGCTGTAAACCTTCTATGTTCTATAGCACATTATTTAAACGTTAAAACTAGTACATATTAATATTTGAAATACACAGGAATATAATTAAACAGTTTTTATTCGAGGTGACAAATATGTTCTTTACGTTTGTACGTAACGACGGGTAGGTATATGTTAAAAGCGTGTACGTTATATACATATTATTTTCCAAAGTTTTATAAACGTTTCTGGAGACAAAATTATTGATATTTAAATAAAAAAAAAAACTAATAGAATTAAAATATTTTATTTGCAGGGGGACAACTAAACGTACGTACGTTATGTTTACTACTGAATAGGTATACGTCAAAAACTTGTACGTTATATACATATTGTATTGAACGTTTTTTAAGCGTTTGATTAAAAATATTGTAATAGAATTAAAATACTTTTTCTTCAGGGGAACAACTGAACGCTAGAAATGTGTACGTTATATGAACGTTGATTGTACATTTGTTGATCATTAAAGAAGTATTAATGTTTTAAGGAAACGGTAAGAAAATGAAAATAATTTCTCATCAACAAATTACATTGCTACTTATTACGTTCAAGTCAGAGCAGCGGCGTACGTTACATACAGGTTGCATCAAACGTTATTTAAACGTTCAGTTACGGTCCTAAATCCATTTCCTTCAGGGAAACAGCGGAGTTAACGTCGCGGAAAGGTGCGGATGTAGTGGTGCCATTTCCCATTTTCTACTTTTTCAAACGCAGACATGCTATGCAAACTAGTCGGTCTAGTTCAACGTTTAATTTCACGCGACGATTGTTTTTTATAAGAAGGATCGCGGACTGATTAATGAATTGTTACACCACGCTCTTCACAATTACCTGCGGCGTGTGCGCGCCGTCATACGAAGTGGTGCTTAAAAAAATTTCATTAATAACGCAGATACGATCGCGGTGGAAAACAGAGGGAAAAAATCGTATGAATTATCGTGTTATGAATATTTATAACGGTGTAATTGCTACAATTATTCTAATAGGATGTACTTTTACTATTTACACAGTGCGTAGCTATTTTTAAATTAAGTGATGGTGATTGCTGTGAATCACGTCTTACCGTTACACGTTTATGTACGTATTTAACATTTAAATCGCAATCGTTTTGTTAGGAATATAGTTTAATTTTTTTCGGCTGGACGTTATACGGGGTGTTTTACCTAAGGGTGATTCTTCAAAGTTCTTTTAATGTCAATAATACAAAAAAATGTCTCAATTAAAAGTTGCACCAAACGATTCCCCATGTTTTAAATTATTTTCGACCATACAGAGTGTTGCATTTCTTCTGAACAGTACCTAAATTCATTTTTTCGAGTGAAATGCCCTGTAAATTATTACAATTTTGAATTTCTCGTTGAATTTATGGCCTCCTTTTATTGAACAAATATTGGGTATAAAACCGGTGTTATTTTATATTTTTTTTTTTAATTTTTAATTGACAGTCTTCTGGGAAATATTTTAGAAATATCGTTTTAGTATTCTTTCCATTATTTGTTAATCATCAAGCACCTCAGACGTTTAAAACTTGAAAATTTTTATTTTATTTTAATGGAATTCCGTAATAAATTTGACATATACAGAATTTAATTTCATTTCGATGTTATTAAGATATATTGAAGTCTCTATCTGTAAGTTTGTGAGATATTTGCTATTTTTCGTATTTTGTATTGTTTATTTCCACGTTAACCACATGAATTCACATAATAATGGAATTATCACCAAAATGGACAGCATCGTTTAAGTTAAAAGTTACCTAAATATTAAATAAAATATTATACAGGGTTAGTCAAAAGTATGGAAACCTTCAAAAATCTCAGCGGGAAAGCATTTTTGGGATAAATGATAATGACAAAAGTCTCTGCATTTTTCACGGCGTATCCGATGGTAACCTTGAGTTTGAGGTCAAGGTTCAAGGTCATATCAAGATCAAGTCGGTTTTTTTAAATGGCGACCCTCCTCTTCGACCTCGAAATGGAAAGAGCAGAAAATTCTTCGTTCGAGTATGACATTGATCGTGACCTCTAGATCAATGGTCAAGGTCAAATGTTGATTGTTGCTGTAATTTTTATTTTTAATTACGTAATCAGAGGGAGTGACAGTCTTTGAGTAGATTCTTGATGGTACTCCTTGAACTAACCTTGACCATTAACCTTGAGATGACGTTCAATGTCATTCAGATGCAGAATTTTCTGTTCTTTCCTTGACTTCAAGGAGATTTTTGGGTGTTTTCATACCTTTGATTAACCCTGTATATTTACAAAAACGTGTGTTCAGTTTTGTTTTGTTAGTAACATTAATAATAATAATAATAATAATAATAATAATAATAATATCTCTACTCCTCATTCTAATTACGAGAATTAGCCCAGAAGTCGGAGACTTGTGCGGGAGAGGAGGCGGCATATTATTATTACGCAGGCCGCATTTGCGCCCAGGAACGACTTATGTTGGTAGGCCCTAACCACCATTCAGTGCAGGAATGAGGGAAACCTGGAAAACCTCATTAATTAGGGGGGTGGTCAAATGCCAACCGGCGTCAATCTCTCACATTGACCCAAGCCAACATTCTTCCACCCTACCATACCTGCACAGAGGGCGCCAATCCTCCGTACAAGTATAGATAATCTACGGTCACCTGCTGCGGGATTCGAAACCCGGGCAGTTCGTCACATCGATTTAAGTACTGACGCCTTAAACCGTGCGGCTATCGACCACTAGTTTTAGTTAATTTTTACTTTTTTTCTCTTATTTGTTGAGCATTATACAGGGTGTACCAAAAAGATTCGAAGATCCTTGGATTCGACCTTGACCTTAAATTTCAAGGTCAAACCAAGGTCAAAGGGGACATGTTAATTGGAATACCACATTTTTTATGCCAACAACCGATAACGTCAAATTTTACATTCGAATATGGGATTTAAACATTTTCCTGGTTTGTCGTTGGAGGGTCATTTAGAGGTCAAATTTATTTTTCCTGAATATCTCTACAAGATCGAAATGTAGAAGAAAATGTTTCAAGCGAAGTTTATAATGTTTTGAATGATAAAGTAGATTGTGAGCTCCTTAGATTTGATCTTCACCGCAAGTAGCAAGGTCAAGGTAAGGTCAACTTAATATCAATTGAAATACGCTATTTTGTATGGTAGTAATCTATACAGCTCCAAATTTTATGTCGGACTCTGGGAACAAATAATTTTTCCAAGTTGTCTTTGCATGTCATCTGAAGGTCAAAGTAATTTTTCAAAAAAAATTCCTAATGGATATAATGGAATTTAATAGACGTATTAGGCTGAAATTAACAGTACGATCTTGACAACGATTTTAACAAATTCACAGGTTAATAATTAATAATTTATGAAAGGCCATTCTATAGGCTGATATCTATTCAGTTGTTAGATCAAATCCAATCTAACGTGATTGCAAATCTTTAAAAAATTTACTTGAAACATCTTGTTAAGTTATTCAGAAAAAAATAAGTTTGACCTCCAGATGGCCTTCAGGGACATACAGGAAAAATTTTATAACCTCATACTTAAACGTAAAATTTGGCGCTCTGTCGATTGCTAGCATAAAAATAAGATGTTCTGTTTAATACTTCACGTTGACCTCGGTTGACCTTGAAACTTAAGGTCAAGGTCAAATCCAAGAGCATGGATGGAATGATAAACATAGGAAGTAAAATTATGCGTTTTTTTCCTTATTCTAAACGTATTGTCAGCTTGTAAGCTGTCTTATATCCTGAAGGAAACTTGAATAACTGGTACAGTGAAGAGGTATTGTTTCTAACTTGCTTAGATTTTCTAAAACCCTCGTCAAAAAACTGCTTAAATTTACTGAAAATTACACATAAAAACGCCTCCCTTAATGTTCCATTTTAGGCTAATCTTGAAAGCTTCGTTTTAACAAGGACGATATGGAAGTATGTACATATATAAGTTTATTTAAATTTC